AATGTCTGGCTTTCTGTCTAACTGAGTCACGTGGTACGCGCATATTGTAATGCTTCCACTTGTTTCTCGAGCAGAATAAAAAGCTGAGGAAAGCTGGCGGTTAAAAAAAAAACAGAAAAAACCCGTTCGCTGACTAAATGCTTACTTTTTAGGGGCGCTCGCAGAAATACATGATAGATTGTGGGGCACAATTAAAAACTGTTAATTTAAAGCCGAGTTCAGTGCAGCGCAGGCGCGTGCAATCCCTGCGTGTCGTGAAGGAACACGGCACGGCCACGATCTTGTTTTCAGGTCCCTACCAGGAATTCCATCTGAGCCTATTCAGTCACATACATGTTGATCACGCCATAAATTTGGTAACGAGTGCCTGTGTTCCCGTGGACTGCTATGCACGTGCACCCCTGAGTTTTGGTATTCTGCTGCGACCTGTGGTAAAGCTGACGCTTATGTTAGCGTGACCGCTGCCACACCTGTCGCACAGCATTCTCCACCCATTGTTTCCCGCGAGACGGACGACGCTCACAACTCAGCCAAGGTCAGCGACATGGTGCACAACCTTTCCCGGAAGGCACGCTGGCTGTCGCTGGTAGGCCGGGCGACGTCAGTGCGCTGGGGACCCGCGGCCCCCGCAGCAATGATTCGAGCAAGTTTCGACATCACAGGAAGCTGAAAAGAAACGAAAGGAAATGCACAGACGGCGTGGCAGCCCGCCATTTCATTCCTGCCGACCGAACGGTTCCGCTCGACTCGCCGCAAGCGGCGAGAAATCGCGCGCGCACGCGCGCGAGCTCCGCGTCGGCGCACGATCGGCGGTCGGCGCCTCAGAGCCGTCAGCGGTATCGGCCGGCGGCGCGGCGTCCTGTTCGCCGCGACCTCGGTGACCCGGCGGCGGCGTTTCCCCGCCGCCGGCGCCGGCGGCGGCGCGTCGTGAGCAGCGGCCCGCGTAATCGGCGCCGCAGGTCGGCAACACGGACGTCCGCCGCGGAAGCCGACACAGAAAGAGCGGCCGAACTGCCGTCCCAATTAGCCGGCTCGTGACACGGCCTGCACGCTGAGAGCTGGGCTTCCGGCGCGCCCGGGGGCGGGCGCGCCTGCCCACAATCTGCTCTGGCAGTGGCAGCTGGGAATGTTTCCCGCTTTACATGCGTCAGTCTGTAGGTGCGACGGACGATTGGCTTCAAATGAATGAAACGCCTCAGTGGGCTCCGTAATGCTGAACGTTTATTAAATCTTTTATTGCCGAAAGCCCACAGGCAGAGCACGTTTACTTGGAACTATTAAAGACTTTCAACTTGAGATCCGGTCCTCACTCTTTCTAGAATAATAATTCTTTGCCACAACAGACTGAAAGCTCATGCAGTTTTCAGCAACATGAGGCGCGGTGTCTGTAAAATTCCTCGGTATAAATAATGAGGCAAGCTGTTTGATATAGGACGGGCGTCTCCTTCAACGTTGTGGCATCATCACGATTCCACCTCCGCTACTCGATTAAGGTAGAAAAAGACAATTCCAAACTGCAGAAATTTGAAGAGATAGGTGGAAACTGGTTCTGGTTTCGATGGCCCAGCGTCGCAGCGAGCCGAGGTGAAATTCTGGCGCGGGCGTAAACGATGAATTTGCACATTCTGGGGCTTTTTAAAAGGAAGTGATGAAAATGCTCTCAGCAACCAAAGCAGATGAATGCATGAAGCCAATGTTCTTGCTACAACTCGCTAATGCATGAAGCCGATGTTCCTGCTACAACTCGCTAAGGTTTCTCAAAGCTGTCCCACTCCGGGGTGGACCATTAATCGACCGGAAAGCGACCAGTGTCACTGTTTGCGAAACCAATCCCTAATACAAGACGTCGTGGCCTGGCCAGAGGGCCTTCCACATCAGGGAGTGGGCCGGTGTGTGATGCATCCCTCCAATGTTCTCCGTACCGACCGGGGGCCGCTGTCCCGTATCGCCGGAATGGCAGCTGCTAGGGACCCCGCGGTGGGACGGGATGCCCTTCAGCTCTTGACCAGGACACTGCTAGTCAATTTCGAAGTTGATGCTTGGAAGTAGCATCTGCAGCAAGAAGAGTAAGGGAAATTCCCCGATTACGTCATGAGTTCGTGGTGCTATAAGTGCTAATCCATCCTAAGGAGCAAGCTGCAAATCGTACAGGCGAAACCTTCCACCCGGAATACGTTCTACATGTTTACCAATGGTTTCCATAAAGGATTGGAAAGTACCACTTTCCGATGCGTGGTGATTCCCCCGCGCGTTGGCCGCTCCCCGGTATTATTGCGGGGCCCCGCCGGGCGGCCCATAGTACTGTAACGTCGGATGCCGGTATTCTTTGTTCTAGACGGCGAGTGCACATGCTGCAAACTATCTTAAGCACATTTTCTCACTATTTGATTCCAATGAAAGAATGGACTTTTTCAGGTGAGCAGGGTTTGGGGACAATTATATTTTATCCGGTTTTGATCTACGCTGGCATTCAATCCACAGGCCTCTCAACATCTTTGGGAAAACCCAAAGCAAATCCGGCGACGCCCCTAACTCTTTCTGTGTCATAGGAGGTATGAATGAGCCATTGAAGGCGAATAGCGCACGCTGCTCATAATGCAATCATTAAATTCCTGCAAAGGTCACTCGATTTGCTTAATGAATAAATACATGTCTAGTTGCATGTTCTGGTCGCTTCTAACCCCTTCTTTGGTAAACAATCAATATAGGCATAAACGAACTTGAACCCTAGAAATACAGTGGGATAAATCCTGCGGTCCGCTCCATTGGCAACTATTTTGCTGGTCAATAACATAATGAAATCAAGAGGCCACAATTCGGGGATTTTTTGTTGGGGGGGGGGGGGGGCACCAAGTTCCAGGGACCACCACAATGAAGTGTGGTCCCTCCATTAATGACGTCCTAAATCTGTCCTTGGCGTACACACATGACGCACACAACATTAAGTAAAGAATACCAATCCGGCTCACTTCAAAAAACTTGATGCGAGTACATTTCCACGCATCAAGAGCATGTTCAAGTTCTTAACAAAGCCGCGACGTGAATGGGGAGCACGCGCTGCACCAGTCCTGCTCGGCGAGTGCACGTCTACAGAAGTAGTTTTAAGTTTTAATGCCTGTGGGAGACAGCAGCGTCCGCACTTCGTCTGCGGCAACTGAAAAGGTACACTTTGTCTTGAGCGGGCGCCTGGCAGCAGCCCGAGACAGGTGCTTTGGCTTCTGATGCCTGGCATGCGTGCTTGTCAACTTAACGCTGGATTATGGCTGCCAGACTAGTGCATACCTGAGGAATGACTGTGGTCTAGATAAAACATTCTTATCCATGCCCCCTTCTTTACAGCCACTCATTATCGGGCTCAAAAAGTGAAGGCTGGCCCCATCTATCCCATATGTCGAGCTTCACCACACATGAATCAAATCACAGCGCGTTTAACAAGCTCCTCACGTGCATTGAATTAGCGTCTCAGATATCCACACATGCGTGTCTTTTGGCACGCTCCTTGCATGAGGTGAATTAGTGTGCGGTTTCCTAGAAATGGAGCCTGATGGTGACGAAATGATGCCGGTGTCCAAACCCGGCATTGCAATGCCATAAAGCCCAGACCGGATTTGCGGTCCGACGATGGCTTACACTGGCTGGCATTCCACGGAACGACACTGGCAGCGGCTTTAGGTGAACGTGCAATATCGGATGATGCATGACCACCAAAGTCCAGTCTTGTTGATGGGTGACTTAAAACATTGCGCTCACAACAAATTGCATTTGCGTTATAGCGGTTGTTGTCGCTTGGCGTCGATGTAACTTTACGGAGTTTGTCATAGTGAATAGGTGAGTGTCATTGTCCATACAGATAGAAGCAGCAGGGTATGTCCTTTCTGATCTGGAGGGTAAGTGAAACGCCTCTTCTAGGTTGGGCAAAATTGCGAAATGGCAACTTATAATTAAACTGTCACAGTTTTACTTAAGGGATGCAAATAGTCATTGGTACTTGTGGCCGGCATAAGTATGTTTTGATAACTTTCGTCGGAATTTTTGGAGTTGATGGATTGCTTGCTTAATTCTGATATCATTGCGGAATCAAAATCCGGGTGCAACTGCTGCATCTTCCGCTCTTGGATTAGCTATATTTAGCGGTACTTAAACTACACTTACAGAAAGATTACCAATCTGTCCTTGCCAGTTCTTACATAAATATGCCACCGCGGTGACCTTTTTTAGGTGAAAGTATGAGTCACCGAAAGAATACGAACGACCGAGAGCATATCAAGCCTATCTTTACGGTCGGTCATATCCGGTCGACAATCAGGACGTCTCAATCAGAATCCGAGCTGTGTTTCCGCACTACCGCGCTGCACTTGATCCCCGCGCCGAAGTCGCAGCGTTTATAACTGAAGGACCGTAGACATAGTTTCACAAAATGAGTTGGTACGGGGTGGGGGCCGAATAAAGGCAAATGACCCAACCAACCTCCAAAGTATGCCAGCAAACAGGTATCTCCGCAGGTTTGGCTCACTTTCTTTCCAAAGCTAGGGGGAGGGGGAGGGGCTGGACCCCAAGCTGGGGAAAGGGCTGAAGCCCGCCGCTCAACTGAATAGGAAACTACACCCCCTGTCAAGTACGCTATAAACGCCAAAAACCACGTCTAGGGTGCATACGGGAGTTAACGAGCTCAGCGAGTGACGGACTTCACCCCGCGTGCTCGGGCGAGCTGGCGCGCTGCAGCTGGAGCGGGGGCCCGCGTGCTCGGGCGCGCTGGTGCGCTGCAGCTGGAGCGGGGAGCCCGCGTGCTCGGACGCGCTGGTGCGTTGCAGCTGGAGCGGGAAGCCCGCGTGCTCGGGCGCGCTGGTGCGCTGCAGCTAGAGCGGGGAGCCCGCGTGCTCGGACGCGCTGGTGCGCTGCAGCTGGAGCGGGACCCCGCGTGCTCGGGCGCCCTGGCGCGCCGCAGCTGGAGCGGGACCCCGCGCCTCAGCCCTCCTGTCCGGTCCCGCTGCCGTCGCCAGTCAGTCGGTCAGCTTGTCGTCGGTGCGGGGCGCCTGGCCCGGCATGTCGAGCCGCCGGATCCTGCTCGCCAGCGAGACCTGAGGGTCGCTGATGAAGCGCCACACGACGCCCGGCCACGAGTCGTAGTGCGGCAGCTGGTCGTACACGTCGGACGCCATCTCGCGCAGCTCCTGCAGCCGCTTGTTCGGCACGTTGGGGAAGTCGTGGTGCTCGTTGTGGTAGCCCTCGTTCCACATGAGCTGGTTCATCCAGCCGTAGTAGCTGTAGGTCTCGTGACCGGGCGTCAGCTGCACGTGGTCGGCGATGAAGTGGCCCGCCAGCGGGTGCAGCCCCATCGTCAGGAAGACCCCCCAGCAGGTACACCAGCGGCTTCCAGCCCCACATCGAGACGAGCCAGTAGTTGAACGACAGCTGCACGACGATGTTGAACACCTCCAGCTTGGTCGGCGGCAGCGGGTTCACCAGCAGCGGCCGCACGTAGTAGAAGAACGGCTGCAGCAGGATGAAGAGCAGTTTGCCGGGCGCCGAGGTGCCGAACAGCCGCGCCTCAAACTCTGTTGGCACGTCCGCGTCCAGCTTGCGGTTGCCCTGGTAACGGTGGTGCATCATGTGGTAGCGCTTGAAGGCGACGGCGTGAGGGAAGCCGATCGGTAGGTTGGCGATGATCGCCAGCAGCTGGTTGGCCAGCGGCCGCGCATAGCCGAACGCCTGGTTATGGCTGCACTCGTGGATCACAGACCACAACCCGTGCTGCAGGAAGCCGCCGAACGCGTACGCGGCCACCAGCAGCCACGGCCAGGAGAGGAGGCGCGCGTAGTAGGCGGCCGACAGCTGCACGCCCACCAGGCACAGCGCCTGCCACTTCAGCTCGGGGTTGTGGCCGAACAGGGAGCGCACCTCAGGGTGCGCCTGCAGGATCTGACGGCGGCGCGTCGCGTGCGGCTCCGGCACCGTCGTGTCGTCGAACCAGGGCTCGGCGGCGCGCGGGGCCATGGCGGCGGCGGGCCGGCGCTCTCAGCGGCGGCGGGGCAGTCAGTGCCGACCGGCGGCGAGCTGGCCCGACTGGTGCAGATGCGTCGCCCTCATTAGAGCGGCACTTGTGAGCGATCACGGGGCGGTGCGCAGGTGCGGCCCGGGCGCGTCCGCGCCGACAGAGGTGACGGGCGGAGCGCACGGCTGCTGGTGGTTGCTTTGTCTGCGGTGTCTGACAAAACGTCTCTCTTCCTTTTCTCCACTGCCTGCAATTCGTGTTCTGTCGAGCAGTCGCTACATCGCGAACTCCTGCTGTGGCCTCGCTCACCCCACCCCACCTTGCGGTGGTGCATTCGCCCCCGCCGACGGTGGTCATGGAGCTGACACCCGGACGCGTGCGGACATCTGCTCCCCTTAACAAGTCACACCAGCGTCGCCTGTTGTGTGTTCTGCAGAATGTGCCGGGAACGTATAACTGCACCCCATTTCGCTGCACCTGCTTCTCAAGCCGCAAGCAAAAAGTTTCATTTCTATGCTTTATTTAGCAAAAGAGCATTGGTAACACATTAAGTACATGCGCATACGGGCTTCTACCAGATGGAAGCTTGTACATCGGAAGAGCATAAATTCATCCCTACGTAGGACACGTTTGCACATACTACACTGATTTCGCAAGTGGAAGCATACTGATAATCTCGATTTTTATCACCATGGCAGAAAAGCGATACAGCACAAATAACAGAAAACACACAATAGCAACGAGACCGTTGGGGCGAGAAGGAAGCACCAGTCCTGTTCATTACATGGCAGACCATAGTAAGTTTACCACTCCCCCCCCCCCCCCCCACCCCACCGACCGCGTTCACGTCCTACCGTCGGTGTCGGAGCGCGTGCCAGACCGGACTCGACCCGGCAGTCTGTGCCGCTCCACCGGTGCCGCTGGTGGGCCGCAGGGGCCCAGCCACCGAGCACGCAGCGCACGCCAAGGTACAGCGGACCCAGGCGAGCATGACGTGTCACTGCCATCCCTGCGCGCGCTGGTAGCGCAGGACTGCAGCTCGCGCTCCGGTTAGGCGCGGGGGGGGGGGGAGAGGGATAGGCGGCAGGACACGAGGAGCTGCGATCAAACAACTATCATACGACCTTTGGCAGTGTCGCGAGAAACAACTCAGACCTTGCATGAAGGAATTAAGTACACGGACACTATGTCCGCCCGAAACGGCGCACCAAGCGAGCCATTTAGCATCACATCACGAGGCACTTTTAACAAAACGAATGCACACACTTGTAACTTAAAGAGCCACGCCGGTTCGGTTCATACATGCATTACTGTCGCTGTCATGGCCGTGCAATATTTGGCAATTGCGCTTGTTTAGTCGTGGCCAAAAACACTCCACCATAATTGGCACGGTTGTGCGCAGCGTTTTTAGGCACTACGTAGGCTATAGGCACTAGGTCTACCAGACCCTTATCTATGTGGTAAGCTCATTGAAATATCTGAGCAAAGGCAGCCGCAGTCATTAAGGCATGGATGACCTTGAAACATGAGTTCCTCCAACAGACAATAGGCTAGATCAGGTCAACAACAGTGCCATTATTCCGGTTGTCAATGACTGCCCAGCCTTCGTTTCCGGAACAGGGTTGGAGCACAGAGTGGCGCCTATCCCAGGAGCCTGTTGTTTTGAATTCATCCATGTCCAGTCACTTTTTGACCGCTTGGAACAATGTGACGCGATTGACATTTGTATCGATGTGATGGCCAACACGCCCCGGATGATTCGCTATCCAGTCAACGAAAGGGAAGTCTTCCCCACCAACATCTAGTGTGGAGAGTGCGAGCAGTATCGCCACTGTCGCCGCGATGACGTATTAAGATAGAGACGTACTGTGGTGAGTGCTCTTTAGCAACAACCCGCCTTAAAGCAGTGGCAAAAACATCAAAATCAGCGGGATGGCATTAAAGAGATTCTATAGTGTAAAAGGATTGTCAAATATTGTCACACCACATAAAAAATAACGGAACATGCAAAGATAACTTACTAAAATATAGTCAACAGCAGACGGATAGAGATTCATAGGTGAGACACATAGCCCAAATATTGTCAGAATACGACAATAAGCAGAAAACTGCAGTAACCGAGTCACACAAAGGACCAGAATAAAACGACCCTGAAGAACAAATCTGGTCCGCTGCGAGGAATGATAATTTTTCAGCCCATTGCGGGATCAAGCCGCCTGTCAGTTCACCCGGTAACGGACGGACCCCGTTAAACGCCATCTATGTACATACAAAAGCGACGCAAGCTCCGCTCCCGGCCGCCACGGCGCTTCGGCAGCGCCCCCGGCAGTTCACGTTCAGTAGCCGCGGCCATAGTTCTTCAGCTTGACGAAGAGGCAGCAGGATATGATGACGCCGAAGATCTGGACAACGGAGACGCCCACGCCGACAGCGCCCACCACCACCAGATGGTCCTGGATCACGAAGTCCAGCTGGTGCACGCAGCCCTGCGGCGAAGGCGGCTGGTCAAGCGGCGCCGGAGCCCTGCCGAGCTGCTGTCTGGGGCGTGGGCCAGCTGGACTGGTCCTCCAGCGCGGCCGGCGGCAGACCAAACACGTGGGACCATACGAAGCTGGATCACACGGCGTCTCCATTGCATACACCTACGCACAGTCACGCGCGCTTTTCACGCTTTACCAACAACGGGTTTGCGATAATTTCGTCAACAGCCGCGGATTTTCCTAAGAATTCTTTGCAGAAATGCGCAAACATGCGCGAAGTCCTACAGGCTAATTTCCGACGGACGGAAGAGTACGAACGAGCGCCGAAGCTATGCGGTTACAACAGCTACAACGTGGCCACGCAAAAGAAATAGCGAATCAGTCGCGAGTGCCAACAGTCCTCAGGTACGGTGCCGGGCCGGGCCAAGCCGCCACGGGACGAGCGCAGGCGACCCACTGACCGCCGGGTTGATGTTGGAGGGGTGGTCACGCCGGCCGCACAGCTCCACCACCGTCTTGCAGCAGCTGTCGGGCACCTTGCGGCGCTCGGCGTTGGCCTCCGAGTCCAGCCAGCGGCTGTACTGCCAGTTGGTGTAGTAGGTGGCGCCGCAGCAGTGGAACTGGCCGCACACCGGCACGGTCACGTCGCCAGATTGTCACAGGGCGTAACGTTTTTGGAGCGTGGGTCTGCGACGTGCTTTGAGACTCTGGGGTGGTAAATACGCGAAGCATTCGTCGCATCTTCCACCCATAGCCAATGCAACACGATGAAGTTTGCACTGATGCCCAGCAGCATGAACGAGAAGAAGCATGCATTCGACAGTTTTACGAAAGGGATGAGAGGACGTATTATTGTTACCGACGGACAACCGCCAGTCTATTCTCCGGCCGTCGTCAGGTTCATGGATTCTTTAGGACTGGGTAAGGTTTGGCTTTTTAGCAGTGTGGGCGTCACAAGCTATATTACCTCCTTCAAATGGTTAGAATTCGGAACGGGGCCTTCTGACTGCCAGTCGCGCTGTTACAGCTGGGCTGAGCGGAAAGGAGGTGATTTGACCAGCAAGGCCGGGGAGTTCACTGGCCAAAACGTTGTGTACCTTACACACCAGACAATGATAATCCGTACAATCATTCATTCGTCATATATTCGACACTGCTATTGCGCGGAAACGAAATATTCAATATCTTCGCAGTCGGTTTCCACCCGACAGCTGGCATTACCCTGGGACCATGGACCTTGGATCACGCTGGTCATCATTCGGCTCGGAGCTCACTCAGACTCCGCACGCTGCCATGGCTGGGCGAGAGAGAGGGGGAGGGAAGAGCACCCATCTCTCCGTCACACGACTCGGGGTTCACTCAGACTCTGCGCGCTGCCATGGCTGGGCGAGAGGGAGGGGGAGGGAAGAGCACCCATTTCTCCGTCACGCCTTTGTAACCGGATTAGACGGGACATACGAGCCGTGCCTGCGGTGGGTCGTTCTACTCACATCCTGCTGCATGTCGTCGATGGCCTCCGTGTAGGCCAGCTGCATGCCGTACTTGTTGGTGAAGGTGCTGTTCAGGTGCTGGGCCAGCTCCATCTGCAGCTGCACCTGGTACACGTACGCCAGCACGCCCGCCATCGACTCCATCAGGAAGATCAGCAGCAGCACGAAAGTGTACTGAAACACCGCCGCGTGTGACCGGCGCGCCCGTCGCAGGAGACTGGCTGCCGCCTGCGCCTGCCGTGCTGAGCCGACCGTTTCGCCAGGCTGCCTAGTCCGTTACGCGCACCCACGTTTACATCCGCGACATGCACCACTCACTATCTCCCAGCAATCATCGCCGCCCGTCGACACGCTCAGCTTCCAAGTGTGTGATAGAGCCCCGCTGACGAGACGCCCGAGCGGCGAGGACCGGTGAGACGTTCGCAGCGTGGGTGACACACCATTCCGACCGACGGCCAGAGACGGGCCGCCCTGACCCCTGTCACTTCTCCGGAACAGCCGGTAAGGCCTCTCCGCGCGCCGTTAGGTGCACTTCCTACGCCAGACCGTTGACGTGCGCGTTTTAGCGAAGCACAAATAGCAAGCCCGACAAACAGTAGCAGGCGGTGCCGGGGCCGGGGCCGGGGCCGGGGCCGGGGCCGGGGCCGCGGCCGGGCGGCGACGTACGGTGAGGAGGCAGGGCAGACTCTCGCGGAGTGCGCCCAGGCAGCCGACCACGCTGGTGATGACCACCAGCAGGCCGGCCGCCATCAACACGTAGGCGGCCGTGCCGAACGAGGCCGTGGCCAGCAGCAGGATGTAGTGCGGCTCGGCGGCCAGTGACCACACGGCCACACCGAACACGGCCAGGCCCGACAGCTGTCGGCAGGAGAACGCTGTTAACGCCTGCACACGGTACATATGGGCGGAGACACGGACCGTCCCACCGCCGACGGCCGCTGAGCATAAACAGACACAGCAGCCAAATGTTGGACATTTGGAATGCCTGGGGTGGTGGCAAACCTGCATCAGACAATGATTCACAGCATACTGGCAGACATTTTCGAACATATTTAGACATGGTGTCCAGCATTTCAGGACTTACGACCGGAGAAGCCTGAACAAGGTTGAAATAAGTATTCATCTACATGGATCACTGCTTCAAGGTAAAATAAACAGAAAAATTGAAAATGATGCAATCATTTTCCTTGGGTAGCATATGGATGGCAATATTGATCATGGATCATGCATGCAAAAGCAGGACAAATGCACCCGCTACAGCTCAAAGGTATGCTTTCCGCCAAAACACCACTATCACAGCAGCTGGATTGGGACCAAAATGTGTATGAATGGTTCAATGATGCATACATTGTTAGCTTCATCAGTGTCAAGTAGTTCAGTAAAACTTGCAAAGCCTGAGATAAGTCTGGTTGGGGCTGACTGCTTACCATGAAGACAAAATTGAACATGTACAAGACATACTTCAGAAAATTGATGCTGCAGCAGCCTTCATCTTTTGATTCTTCCATCGGTATCCTGGAGAATGACACATGGTTATCACACATGGTTGGTATGTTACACAAACCCAAGATTGGACAAATAAAGACTTGGCCAATGTATTGAAGGCACAGAAGTTACATTATTGCAAAGTGCAAAGGTGACTGCACGCAAATGTTATATTCTGCATACTGATTAGCAGTACTATCTATGATTATACAAACATGTTTCTTCCACTTTACACCTGTAACCTATTTATAAATCCCCATTGTACATATACATACTTCTTTCACCTGAAAAATGGGGTCCAAACAAAGAAATATCTTAATCTCTTCCAAGTAACATAATATATAAAACATCATTACACTGCTACCTTTGAGTCATTGCCCTGAGCAAAAGTGACAAAGTAATCTGGCTGTCAGGTGCAGAACTTCAAACAATTTTTTTCAATCAGCACATTACAGCATACCTCTATGCACATTGGCTTACATTGCATTGCAGTAGCAAGTTCCAGATAGATTACATTTGAAACTGGCAGACTAGATTACACTGTATCCTAAATTTGATTTACATCTTGGAATGGACAGGGCTGCCTTAAAAGGTTGCACATCTCACAATATAAGAATGACTTTAGAAATTGGTTATCATAAATTGAGTGGAGAAACAATCAATTTGAAGGTAGTTTGAGAGATATCAATGTGTGCTGCAGATACAGATGCGCCATGTGTCTGTGTGCTATATTTGTTTGCATGTCAAAATGAGCCAAAACATGACTGAATCAAATATGTCATCCTGAGAAAAAGTTCTGTTATGGATTACTGGACTAGGTTAGACCCAAAATTTGTGAAAAAGCATATTAGCAGGTTCCAGGTAGGTTACATTTGAAACTGGCAGACTAGATTACACTGTATCCTTAATTCAAGGCATTCATTCTCTTGGGCATGGGGAGAAATCCCTGGGCAAAATATCTGGAAAAGCAGAAAGACCAGCAGACACAAAATTTGGCCTATCAATGATATCATTTTTCATGCTTTGAAGCCAGCATTGTGTCCCAGATCAGGTCAGATCACTGAGGTCATGTTACTGTGTCTGCATTATCTGACAGCTTGCAGAGCTATTTTTATGCCTTTTTCCCTCTTAATAACAATAAATGCTACTCTCCAGAAGAGAATTAGTGAAAAACCCACTGGCACAGAAATTACCTTGGTAGAATGCTATTATTTCAAGATGAGCTTCCCTTGTTTCCTAGCCACAGCACACATTTTCATTAGAGCACAAGGTGATCCAACAGCAAAATTACAAGAATCACTTCTTAACAATTATGTGTTGACTCTGCCAAATTGCCAAAATATGTTTAAGTTCCACGAAAATGCAACTATTTACATTCCACTTATTGATGACAGACACACACACACACATGTATACATCATTTATCATCATCTCATTATCATTTCATCCACATCTAAACACATCTTATTGTTCATCTAAGTCATCTAATAATGTATCTGCTTATCTAACCATTATTCTAATTAACAACATCTAAATGCAACTTACACTTCATCTAAATCATTTACTAATGTATCTGCTTATCTAGCTGTTATTCTAATTAACAATCAGGTACCAATAGCACAGTAAATAAACTGTTTATCTGAGAAAAAAACAGGAACATGATGTACTGTTGCCTGGCCTTCCCGCCAGGCCGAGAGGCAGACAACATATGTCTGGGACTCATGTTGTAGCATGTAATGCAATGTCAGTGTTGTTAAGCCCTAATGGCACACACAGCTACCCTACTCTGAGAAGCACCCATCATGTACATCTTGGGTTTGGAGTTACCAAGTTGGATTTCTTCTAGTTGCTTCAGTAATTGTGACTGATAAATAACAATGGCATCAAATTGTGTTGTGGTGATAACAATCAAATATGGTTTCTCCATTACCACACATGCTGGGAAAATGTGACCTCAATTGAATTTGTAGTTGTTTATCTTGTCACCAAAGTTATTGGATGGCAAGGGGTTTGTGATACGATGTCGACCCAGCCAGTCAGTAGCTGCACACACTAGAAACAATGCATAACAAATTTGCACCAAGCAGGACTATGCAGGGTCCCAGGGAACTCACATTGATTCGAGCGGCATTTTCTCACAATGAAGCTGTATCTGGGTCACAAAATTCAGGCCAGCAATGTAAATCACCGTTCTCGCCGCTTCTGCAACACCAAGCTGCTTCAGTTCACAGCATCGGCTTTCCTGTCTCCTTTACTGCTCCGGGACGCCAACTTAGAAGACCGAGGAGTAATTAGTCTCCATTCTAATCGCTTTGGTGTTTGGGAGGCGTCATATTTTGAGGCGGCGATCGTGACGTTCTGCGCCAAAGTGCCAAGTTTCACAGGGGTAATCCGCTGATTTTTTTTACGTCAAGTTATTGTGCACTGTGCGAGGTATTTGCGCACCCACAGCACAATAATATAGTTTTTTCGGCGAAAGCAGTTCAGGTTGAGCTGTGCCAACCACCCTTGAAAAATTATAATTCGCCTGCATTCGGCGATAAGGTAAAGAAACCTAGATTCCGGCCCAACGTGAGTGTGATTAAATATGTTTGGAGGGTTCGAGGCCAGCGGCGCATTTCCGATTCAGTTGGGTGGGTTCACCCTCCCCGCCCCCCCCCCCCCCCCACCAACTTGGGCTCTGGCCTTTTTCTACAAAAATTGGCCAAATTCGGGGAGAGGCCTGCTATTTGGAATACTTGGGCGGTAGGTTAGGCCACAATTCCACTGGTCAGTCCCCCAAAACATTTTGAGAAACTGCGCCCCTGTTCGAGGCCACCACGTCCCTAAAATTTCAAAACAGGAACGTCGCGTGGGACGCATTCTCTTGAGATCTAGACGCAAATAAACTAATTTTCAAACATTCACGTCAAGGTCCTCAAAAGAAAACTATTTAGTTGGCAGACGGACACCGACTCGCCATTGCTGGCGATCATCAATACAATTGTGTAGTGGTGTCTGAGAATGGATTCGGTGTGGAAGTTAAAACACAGATTAACTGAACTCCAGTTCGCCGAAATGTTCTTTAGTCGAATGACCACTTGCCGAAATACTCTCTAGTCGAGTGCTAGTTTCTTAAGCATTCGACTAACTAAATGGTCTCTAGACGAATGTTTATGTGCTGACATGTCGATAACTTTCAAAGCGAACAGTAGCAAATACAACTTTTGACAAGTTAAATCAGATCCATCCTCCTAATGTTGCGAGAAATTGGCATGCTTCGAAGATACGCAAAAGGGAGTTGCATGGTTTTAAAAACCTCTTTTGGCTTGACTTAAGTGGGCATAAACATACGTGACCTGTTATGAATCATGTCATGTCAAAAGGTAACAGCTATGGTTCCATTAGATCGTCCACCTATATCAAGGCATAAGCAGGGAGGACCAAACGAATAAATCCACGTATTTCGCAACGTTGGTTACGTCCCACGAACGATGCGCTCGTACAAATGCGTGACAGAATTCATAGACCGCCTACGGTCCGCAATTTTGAAGAGAACTTTTCAAAATTGTATGACTTGGTTAACGCTCTGCCATCGCGTCAATTCGTAAAATTCCGGCATGATGAGTTCAAAGTTATGTAGGATTAACGTCCTGCAGCGCACCAGGAGTTGCTGCGTAAACGGCACTGTAGCGATAAATAGCGATTATATTGACGGTGCTCAATAGCTCCATATGAGCTTATCCTCAAGAGTGAAAGGAGCTCAAAAGATTCACCAAAACGTCTTGCCGCAATCCAACTTCAGCCTGACGCAGGATCTACGTTAGGAGCAGGAATGCATTACGTCCGGTAAAAAAGGCAAACAAAACTCGGTCACCCTCAACGATTGTATTACCAAAATGCGCATCATAGTATGTGCATGGAAATTCATGCCAGCTGGTAGCACCATTGCGAATGTTTTCGATAACCCGAAGCGCCCTCCGATACGAATACTGAATTGCCAGGTTCGAACATAACACATTGCATCAGAACGAATCCAGCGTGAAATGTTAGGGATGGGGCGCAAATTATCAGTGATAGGACCACACAAACTCAGTCCACTAAGTCTATACGGCGACAGGTAGGCGCATGAGCGCCCCGTCCACACACACGCGCACACCGCGGGAACACACCTACGCCGATAGGCAGCCGCTGTTATGCATCGCGGGGCACACCTTCGCCAATAGCCGGCCGCTGTCACACACCGTCATCCCACTAGGCTCTGTCATAAAGATGCAGGCCGTGAGAGCCGCAAGATGCGCTGACATGCCAGGACTGTATGCCTGTAACACACCGCGCACAATGGAAGACGCTTCCCAGGGGGCACAGATTGCCATGCCTACCGATGGTGCATATCTGTGTGCATGCGTATTGTGCCCGCGTAAGTGGCCGTGTAACTGCGTCCGTGCGTACGCGTACGAGGGCGTTTGTGCCCGATGCAGCAGAACTCAAACCGTAACCTCTCCTGTCACCAACGTCTGCTGTCGCGGGTGGTCAGTTGGTCCCGACGGGGCGCCCGCGTCGGCGGATGTGCCACCGAGCCCGACCGCGGGTCGGCGGCGGCGATGGTGGCGGGGCGGCGGCGGCGGTGGCGGCGGCCGGACGCCAGCGCGCGCCACGGTGCTGCCCGCCCGCGCGCGGCCGGCCGGCTACGACACCGGGCCCGGCGCGCTCTCTGCCTCCTCGCTGCTCGAGTCGTCGTCGCGCCCGGCGTCGCAGAGGAACTCGTGCGCCTCGCTCGTGCCCATCGAGATGGAGTGGGAGAGCCGGAACTGCATGGCGCGGCTGAGCGGTGGCACGTACTGGCGCGGTATCAGGAACGTCGACAGATTGAACAGGTCCAGGAACACCTGCCGGCGGAAGACAGCCTTATGGAGCGGCTCTGTCATGCTGCCAGCAGCAGCATGTGCCAACAGCACGATGATGCTCGTGGAACCGGAAAGAACACAGGCTATGCGATGAAGGCCCAGTCAGGGCGGATGCTGACTTTTCACAATACTCGAAATTCGAAAAGGGTCCCGATCTGAGAAGTCTTCTTTTCGGGATCCAATAAACTCACTACTTAAATATTCGATATCAATCCTGGATCTTAGAACACCAATATTTTTATAATACATAAATAAATAAATAAATAAATATATATATATATATATATATATATATATATATATGTAAATTTGCAATGGGTTTCAGGTACCGGAAAATCTGAGACTCAAAGCTAAGATACTCATCTCAGGCTGGCTATGGAATCCACACTTAACTTCACAAGCAAGACACTGGTGATTTCGAGACTGAAAACATCTCAGCGAGTGCAAGCTGTGCTCTGGGTCCACCCAGTCTAAAAGCGTTTGCTGTGTCACATAGCATATTTCTCATCTCTTCCAATTTGAGGTAGGCCCGAACGACTTACACCGAAATTTGGGCAAATAAAGGCTCAGATAGGCGTAAGAGGGTTATCCAACTTAAAAGTGAGTGTCTGACAATGGTGCAGTCCGCAGGCAGCACTGACACCGTATGATGTCAGTAGTAAGAATCAGATGTCATAAACCAGTAAGAATAATTTCCCTTGTGCAAAAACCATCCAGACCGAATGTCGATGGGACACACAGGCATGGGCGGACGAGACGGGAGCCGGCGCGGCAGATTCGTGAACCAGTGCGCAGCGCGGCCTCACGCGGCGCGGGGCCGGCGGCGGTACCTTGTAGCGGTCGCTGACGGTGGCGCGCAGGTACTGGTAGCCGGACGAGCCGCCCGTGCCCACCTGCTGCGAGCCGATCATGCGCTGCACGATCTGCACGTGGTTATCTGCGAACGGACGGCTGTCACGCGCCCGACCGCACGACCAAGGCGCGGCGCTGAGGGATTCGGCAACCTCTGGTGCGGTACGTCCTCTACCTGCCCGGTTTGGTCTGCCTGCGGTCTGTCTGAATCCGGTCCGTCTATTCCATCCGGTTTGTCTGGCTCAAAAATGTCTGGCACACAATCAGCATGGCAAAAAAGACACAAGACGTTGGGTCACATAAATCCTAGTTGGATGCGTATGTAGCCGGCTTAAGGCATGCAAATCAAGCAATTAAGGTTGTTCGTTCCGTGGCCGCGGAACTTACTTCTCCATTTGATGAGCAGCTCATCGATGTCCATGAGTAGATTGATCAGCTGATAGGGTTGGTTGAAGCGTGGCTCCATCCTGCCGACAGAGCCTCGTGAAGTTGTAGAGCAGCGGGCACAGAGCAAAGTTGAAATTGGTCAAGAACACGCAGGGCGGATCACACCCAGCGCCGCTGGAAGGTGAAACATCACACAGCGGTGATATTTAGCACGCCAGTAAGTGATTTCGTGAACCCACGCATACTCCACTGCCACCACTCCGCCGACTCGCAGATATGGAGCAGAGAGCGTTTGAGTAAGACATAGACATAGACATAGACATAGACGGAGACGGAGACGGAGACGGAGACGGAGACGGAGACGGAGACGGAGACGGAGACGGAGACAGAGACAGAGACAGAGACAGAGACGGAGACAGAGACAGAGACAGAGACAGAGACAGAGACAGAGACAGAGACAGAGACAGAGACAGAGACGGAGACGGAGACGGAGACGGAGACGGAGACGGAGACGGAGACGGAGACGGAGACAGAGACGGAGACAGAGACAGAGACAGAGACAGAGACAGAGACAGAGACAGAGACAGAGACAGAGACAGAGACAGGGACAGGGACAGGGACAGGGACAGGGACAGGGACAGGGACAGGGACATGGACGGGACAGGGACAGGGACAGGGACAGGGACAGGGACAGGGACAGGGACAGGGACAGGGACAGGGACAGAGGGGGACAGGGACAGGGACAGGGACAGGGACAGGGACAGGAGGACAGGGACAGGGACAGGGACAGGGACAGGGACAGGGACAGGGACAGGGACAGGGACAGGGACAGGGACAGGGACAGGGACAGGGACAGGGACAGGGACAGGGACAGGGACAGGGACAGGGACAGGGACAGGGACAGGGACAGGGACAGGGACAGGGACAGGGACAGGGACAGGGACAGGGACAGGGACAGGGACACAGAGAGAGAGAGAAAAAAAGATAGAGGGAGGGAGAGAGAGGGGAGAGGGATAATTTATTTATTTACATGCGCACAAAAATGCTGAGACACGGCATGCAGACCACGGTGACGTGGTCTCTCATCAGCGAAGTGTGTACCTGGCTAAATCACGTGGTGGGTGCTAAGGGAGGGTACCACATTAACAGATACATTTTTTCGATCCCACGCGACTGAGAGGAAATAGCCGGTTATACGAGTGTGTGTGTGTGGGGGGGGGGGGGGTTCCAGCCCCCAGTTTTGAGAGGGAAGTGCGTCAAATTCAGGAGGAACCTGTATTCAGTGTATTTTGCCAACTCTCCCTGCTAAGCCTCGCTCCAACCATTTGCGGACCTTCACCCCCGGTCGCTTACATGACCGTTATGTGGCGCCGGCAGATAATCATCGCGGCTCACCCTGTGAGAGCAAGGCGACCATGGACCGAGCCCGAGCTTCAGCGCCGCGGGCTTGCTGCCGCCCGACTCATCCCAACAACGCTGCCACGCCCTCCCCGTGCGGGCAGGGGCCACACACTGGGTATCGTCTCCGGCAGAGATTGACAGGGAGCGTGTACGCGGCACCCGAACTGCTCGCTTGGCGCCGGCGTCAGCAGCTCTCTCCCCGCCACTCCGATGTGACCGGGGGTCTGGGGGTCCGGCACAAGGTGACTTTCTTTTCAGCCCGATCCAGTGAAGCCAGACGGGGAGCGACAGAGTGGCGGGGAGAACAGCGCTGGAGCGCAGCCAAGTCATTAATAAGCAGACAGAGCAAGGCGAGAAAAGGTCGGCAGGGAAAGAGACCTTTCCTCTGTTGAGCTCTGAGCTGCAGGATAAGCGCTAGAATGATGGCAGATTCACGTTTTCTCTACTTTGAGTTCGTTGCAAGCCTTGACGCATTACATTACAGTTGCAGATACTAGCCTTGGCCGGTTTCGCGCCCGTATACGGCACCCCCAATCGTCATTTAAAACTGGACACGACATAGTACCATGCGCCGCTGCTCCATCCCCCTCCCTAGCCCTGCACCCCGTAAACACACCACTGTTTCGTTCGCACCCGTCTTAAACGGAGGCATTTGGGACATATTTCAAACACATACTCTAGTGAAACCTCAGAACCAGTAACGTCTGATAATGGCATAAGGCAATGCCACTGCAGCAGCGTCAAGACATAATGATCTTGCACAATTATATCAATTTTGATTATTTTCGAGTCCAAGTTACGCAGTCAGGGCCTTGTAACAACACTACGCTTCTTCCCTACAGTTGTCGCGACCACCGTTGTCATGATAACCCTCATACAACAAAGACATCTGTGACTGGCCCAGCGGGCGGCAAATGCCCATTTCCAAGAAGCGCACTGGTTGACATTCGAACCAGTGCGTCACCATAGAACATGTGATACTGCGCTTCCCACAGCCCGAGTGCGCTCCGAGAAGCCACTGTGGAAAACGCCATACGGGATAAGTCAAAGCCACTGTATGCCGTTTCGTTCAACTCGCGGGAAAAAGGCACCATGTTCTCTTTTTTTTGTCTCAATAAAGTGTCTCCAGCTCTAACAACATTTATCACACATTTTGGCAACTTAGTGCGCCGCAAAAATCATGAAACTCACACACTGGAAAAACGGGACCAATAAAATAAATTACTTTCAAAGTGATGGGCAGGGTGTCGAATGAGATGTCTTCCGCAAGAGCGACTTCTCAAGAGCGACAAGAACGACGACGACTACTAAACACCCCGCTGCGTCAGATCTTGCGTGCGTCACTGTATGCGCCATGCGGATGCGTGCGTTGTCATGGTTAGGGGTGGTTAAAAGCTCAGCCAGACGCGAGCTGCCCGTAGGAACCGGACAGCACGCATCACCGCCCTTAAAAACGCCGCTCCTCAAACTGGTGGCCCATACCACGAACCGTGTAACACACACATGCGCATTTCCATACCGCCGACGGCGCCATCCCCCACCACGCAGGCGCCCGACCGGTTCTTGTTGCCTCCGCCTGGATATGGCGCGCGTTGTCAGCCTTTTGGACAGTCGGGCGGTGTTTACCGGCCGGCGGTGGGCCAGGGCGGCCTCGCCTCCAGCGAGCTGCGCGCTGATTGGTCGACCCGCCAACACGCGATACGGGCGGCGGGCCTGGCCGGGGGCCGGCCGGCCGAAGTCCGACCGCAGGAGTGACCGAGCCAGGGCTGGGAGACGGCCCCCCCCCCCCTGCCTCCCCGCAGGCCAGTGACGGGTGTCCCCGGTTCACGTCAGGAGAAACGAGAAATGTACGTGGTAGCGTGATGCCTCTTGCTTCACAAGCCCACAAGCTTCTGTGGCTTGTTTGTCTGGCAAGGCCAGTCGAAATGAAGCGCCGCCAGCAGTGAGTACCGCTAACTGGGCGCCGACCGGGCCGCCCCGCAATGGCCTCCTGACGACGCCGTGCAAGTGACTCAGCGGAGCGACACGTCCACGCCCGGCCATAAGACGGGGCGCCGGGGTAACCGCGTCACTCTCGCCGGCCGAAGTCAGCGCGGCGAGGATGCCGTTGCTAGACCGTTGCCGCCGCGTTGCCAGATTGAAAAGATAGCGGCAGCCGTTTCTCAATAGGCCAGTCGCCCCCTGCGGAATTTTCTGACCCAACATCAGCCATGTCCAACGGTGGTTTGAAAAACCTGAGATGCGATCAGACCGGCCAGTCCGCGGCATGTGGTCGTGTGGTCACGAACGCGCCACGGCTTTGTCCACGTCTGTCGCTTGGCTTGCAGTCGCCACGAGCGCGGATAAAAATGCGCACGAATATGACGCGGCACGATTACGCGAGTACGTCGGTGCTTATGCTTGAAGCGCTGGCTGAGAAAATATACAGAGTATATTGTACGCAATGTTTGCAGTGTTGCGTGAGCTGGTTTACACTTTCCAGACCAGGTTGCTTCATGCCATGGCGGTAATGAGCAGTGGCGCAAGCTTCAGGATGCAGTGTGCGATGTCTTCCATCGCGCCCACGGGAGTGGGTCGCATGACTCTGGTCCCGATTCGGCCTCCTACTGCGCGCAAGCTTCAGGATGTGGTGTGCGATGTCTTCCACCGCGCCCACGAGAGTGGGTCGGATGAATACGGTTCCGGTTAGGCCTCCTTCTGCGCGCATGCCTAACAGCGACCTTGCAGAGAGAGCTCGCAGAACTTCCTGGTGGAAACGCGGGGCTTGGAATGCGGAATTGCGCACCTTGGTATCACCTCAAATCACGGGCCACCCACGATAAGGTCAGGCGTAAAATGCTCATGAACAATGATAATGTTTTCAACAAGGTTTTGGCGTGAAATGATTTGGAACACCTGCTGTTTCAGATGATTATGCCTAGAAATGATGACATGCGATCTCGCTGTCGTGTCAGCAAAACTGTGGGATATGCCTGTCACGGCAAAGGCGTTTGTGAGGTCTCAAAGTTATGCGGCCGCCACTGGTAAGTTTGAGTGCTAAGTCTGATGGACTTAGACTGCTTAAACGGCACTTTACATGTTCCACGGCTTCATCAGCCACGTAACGTAAGCTGACTGCCTCTTTTCATGGGTAGGAATAAACATGGCTAGTAAATGTGTTTTTTCAGATCGTGGGCCATCACCCTTACACCTGTCCGGCCGTTGGCCATCAGCCGCTATGACAGACGGAGTCATGAGGGCGCCCTGGAAGATCACGCGGGATCATTCCGAGTCATTTGCACGGATCCGCGCTCATCTGTAGGGGATGACGAAGGCAACCCAAAGGTCAAATGAAAAGGCTCAAGTCACGTGCCGGGGCTGCGACCTCTCACCTGTAGAAAGAGATCATGAGGGCGCCCTGGAAGGCCACGTGGGACCAGCGGCGTTCACCGCGCGCGCGCAGTGCGTCGTGCAGCTTCACGTCGAAGATGGAGTCGAAGAGGACGGAGCGGCGGTTGACGGCCTCGACCTCCTCCTTTCGCTGCGCCTCGTTGGCGACCGCCTACGCGACCAGCACAGCGTCAGCCACCAGCGAAAACATTGGACGGGCGGCCATCCCACACTCGGGTGGCCGCTACACACTCGGGTGGCCGCTACACACTCGGGTGGCCGCTACACACTCGGGTGGCCGCCACACACTCGGGTGCGAGATGTCACAATGGCAAGGGCCTGGCGTTATCGCCGCTGCCGACACAGTGCTGTCGACACGCAGTGAACTTGGAACAAATAGGGCCGAACGGATGACCGGACTGGATGAGCGCGGACGTATTGCAATGCTGGAGGTTTAATTCATCACAAGTTTAAGCTACGTAACTTCACTACACAGGCGTGTAGATTAAGAGAAAAGGGACCGCGAAACACCGCCCCTAGACGGTGAAATAAAAAAAATACTACATCTCTTCACGACTTGTCTTGAGATGATTATTCCGTATTTGGTCTTTGGTCACTCCCTCTCTGGGGTTCAACACTGTACCCACTCTTGCGGGATCCTAGGATCGAGGTGGCCTAACCAGAGCAAGACCATTCTGCAGGGCACGTACTTGGGCGGCCTTCAGTTCGTCGTTCAGCATGGCCTTAACGGCACCCTGGAAGCGGTCCCAGAAGTTGAAGCCCTTGGCGGAGATACCCGGCGTACGCTCGAGCCAGCGTTCGACGAGCGCCGCCAGCGACGGCTGCTCCTCGGAGTCGCGGATCTGCTCCATCAGCTCCGGGTGGTCGTGGTACGGCGCCGAGTAGTCCGACTTGGTCTTGACTCGGCACTCCTGCGAGCAGGGTGCGGCCGCGGTGGGTGACGACGGTCCCGCCGCCAGCGCGCGCCAGAGCCAGACGCCGCGGCTGACACCACTTGGCGCGCGACATGACAGGTTACAGCCATACTCCCAAGGCCGTGTGTCCGGCTTTGGGGAAAGGACAACACCTATTGTATGTATAAGCAGAGCTCTTTTGCAAGGTGGCCATCAACGGCGTGCAGGTAGCCAGAACGGACCCTTTGATTATTTTTTCTGAAGCGGGAACGCGACGCAATCATGGCCTAACATCTACCACAAATGACAGCCCTGGCGGGCACTCCCTAAGACATAAACAAAAAACCGTGGCTAAGCGTCAAGGTGTTTGAAATAGGTACAACCAAGCAAAAGCGGATCAGAAGCCCCAAGTGGGACCGCAAGGTCGGTCCTCCAGATCAGAAAGCCCGGAGACGCACACTCCGTACCTGGGCATCTGTCGCGAAAGAAAAGCACGACGAATCTAAAGACTCCGTAGCGTATGACTACCGCGACAGTACAATCCAGGACCCAGTACGAAACAGATCAGATCTTTCCATGGAATCATATGTCAAGAGATGCCAGAAAACGCAAGAAAAACTAAACAAACATACACAACTGGTTCTCGATGCCATGAAGAAACTGACATCACACAAAAACCGCACACAAACCTCACCTTCTTCAGCCCAAGCTTGTTCTCCAGCAGTCTAAACTGCAGGCTCTGGAATCCCGATGCCGTGCTAAGGTGGTCACGGAAGTCCAGGAAGTCCAGGGGAGTCATCGTCTCCAGGATCTCGATCTGGCCCACCAGCAGCTATAGCGGAGGACAGCGTTAGAACAAGAAAACTGTGTGAGAACAGGAGAACGGTGTCGTTAGGGGCAGATATTCATGACACGGCCAGGGGCAGGTACTCAGGCCCAAAGCTCGCATTTACGGTGGAACAGATTGATGACTTTTGCATAGTGGTACAAAATCCCTCAGTGAGTCATAAATAATAATTTAACCAGTCAGGTTCTGTTGACACCATGCCAACACGGGCACGGTGACGGAATGCCTAAAAACACTGAAGAAATAGCTCCACGCCATCGATAGCGATTAAAGCGTGCAGAGCGATCAATCACTAAAGTGGCACAGTTGTATCGCGTGCCCGGCGCCAAACCTTGATAAAAGGGGCGCCAAACTTTGATATAAGGCACAACAGAATCTCACAGGGACGTGCTCTCATGAAACCCTGATCTCAGATTAACTGTATGCCCACCGATTGAACATAAGCTTCGTCTGGCTTCCGCTCCAAATTGCCGCATCATTTCTAAATATTGGCGACAATTTTGAATTCGTCATATTCCAATAGGGACAGTGGAGTAAAATTTCGCCGTACGCCGAAGCCGATGAATTTGGACATGTTGTTTTACTATTTGTCATCAATGTGCCAATGTTATGGACCCTCGTTAACTACAGGCCGATAACAAGTCACGACATTCAGCGGATCAAATAAGGAGCCATTGCTAGCAATCAGATTTTCCGAAAACGGGTCGCTACTTGCTACTTGAAGTGTCTCACCAATGATGTGCGACTTGAAACAATTGCTGGTAGGCCTTAACGTATCAGCTGTACATATATATATATATATATATATATATATATATATATATATATATATATATATATATATCAGCCGCATTTCATCATACCTTCAATATCAAAACAACTCTGTTGGTTTGCTTGATTATGTCCAGCATCCTTCGTTCGTTGAGCTTCTGAAAGATAGAACCGGTGCTAAAATCAAGGGATCGACGGAGACAATCGTGGCGACGTTTCAAAGCGCAAAAAATTGCCAGGTTTACACAAGTTTACGTCCACCACGGCCATGCCACAACTATCGCACCCAGCACACGCTCACGTCAGAGCCATGATTAACGGCATTTCTGCAAACACCAAAGCTGTGGAGCAGAACTGTGCAGTGAAGCCGACCCAAAGCAGGCATTATGTCGTGTTCTCGGCTGACAGTGAGCAGATCAGGCCTCCTGTTATGTAAACATTCCAACAGGACAGTCGCCAGACGCTCTGAGACTGGTATAAACGTGCACGCACACACAGGCGGGCGGCATCCCACACCGCCGACAAAACATGCCTATTACGTATTTGCTGTTGCGATCAGGGACTCACTATCAAATCGCATCAATTATGATATGTATATATATATACCAATTTATCGTACATCAATTGCCATTACATTAATACCACCAATATCAATTAGATATTATGCTATATGGTATACCATAATAATCAATAATTTTATTAATGATAAAAAAATGTTAACAGTATTCATACATGTACCAATCATATTATCAAATTCGCCAATTTCTGCCAGTACATTTATCCTTGTCTGTCTGTCTCCGCGCATCTGAGCAGCACGCGCACAGCACATACAGCTGTAGGGATTACCGTGACTTTGCGCACACGACGGGCTCAACTTTCGTGACTTTTCACGACGCCAGTCCACGCCCGTCACATACCAGTGTTGGTCGCAGGGCGTGCACGAGGCAAACTTTCGAATTCAGTAGGAAGGTACTTATCGTCTATTTGTGAGAAACAAGCGGTGCAAATGCCGTGCCGTCGACAGCATGCCGCAAGGCTCGAGCAGCGATGAATGGTAACGTGCTCATGAGCAGTGCATGCCAATTGACGCAAGCATTAAGCAACTTCAACAGGGACGACATGGCAAACTTAAAAGAGCCTAAGCGGTGCACACGGCCGATCATTGAGATGCAAATCGATGTTATGTGGCTGGAGGCGGTGCTATGCCGACGACAACGGTGTCGTTTCTTTGCACAGGGAAGCAGGCGGAAACCACAACTTGCCGAAGTGATCATGTCTTGAGGTCGTGGAATCGCACCAAACATTACGTGGGCAGTGCGTCTGAGTGACATAGGAGTGTTTTAATTAGCTTTGAAATCTTATGCGATATCTTCATCATATTGTTGAGACACGAGTCAACGCCACGCCGCTGGCAGCGTTTCCAGCGGTCAGAGCGTCGCCATTTTGTGCGACGAAGCGCGCGGAAACCGTCTGTTCCTTCTAAATGAATTTCACCGACGCAGTTACGCAAACGACATAATCTGTGCGGCTCAGACAACGTGTCACCATTTCCGTGGGCGAGGCTGTGCAGGAAGCTTATCCGAAAACTTGTTTTTGAGTCATGCCCAAAATGCAAGTCAGCACTCAAAAGCATCCAGATAGTGGGAGCAGAACGACAGTGACTTGCGCTGGCTTGACGACAAAAACTGTCATTAGAGAGACAAAATTTAAGAGTTCATTACAATATGTCACGATGGCATTTGCTTTTCATATAAAGTTTCAGTTACAGTCCAGCTATTTGTAATATTGAACCAATGCATGCTGTGCTTGAATGGTTTCTTTCAATAAAAAACTTTTGAAACAAACCTGGGCGACCTGAAGCTAGTCTGCATGAGACATTTTAAGGCACGTTATTTCTGTATGGAACCTTAAGGCACGTTCGGATGGAATTTGCATAGTTGAAGACAATTTAATAGCGGATCGTTCGGGATCCAAAACTTAGACGCACCTTAAAAGGTCGCTGACCTACGACATTAGTCAAATCAGGCCATGGATTCAGCGATGACAGTTTCCAGGGAATTGTTCAATGTGATACAGCGACGAAGCGTTAGTGGAAGCATTTTTGAGACAGTTTTTGGCAACACAATATTTAGGCAATACAACATATTGACAACACGAAGCATGCTATTACTTAAACTTCTTCGCAACTCAATATACGGACAACACGAAACATATCTGAGATAGTTTCTTAGACAGCACAACGACTGAATGAGCAGATTCCTTTGACCTTGGGCCAGGTATAAAGGTCAGATCGAACTCAAAACCCACCTGCTTTATTACTCTAGAGCGTATTGTATGGAGTAAATTCTGGTGCTCATTTTGAATTCGTTGATAACAGGACCCACATTATGCATATTCCTAGACCTATTCAAGGTCAGAATAGGTCGCTGACCTAAAGTGACCCGGGCAGCATTCTGTTTTTAGGGACGTGCTGCCTAATGTAATCTTTGACGCTAAATTCGAGTGCAAAACTTACAGCAGTCCTGTATTGTTTTGGCCAACATGACCTGTGAAAGGTCAAACGAGGTCACTGACCTCAAATCAACACCAGTGATCTTTTGCTTAGGACAGGTATTTAGGATCTGGGGCACTACAGACACC